GGGGACGGAGCCCCACCTGGCACCGTCCCTGTTCTATGGCTGTGACCTTGGGCAAGGTCTCTAATTCTTGAACTGTAAAGCGGAGGCAATGAGGCCGTGCCCCGAGGAGTCGAGAGGCCTGAGTTCGTGCTTGTGGGTGACCCTCGCCGACACCTGGCGGCCTAACTCGATCCCATTCTCCTCACCCCGTTTGCGTCTCGTGGGCGTCTCCGGGGCTGCGATGGGGCCCGCGCGCACTGCTCCCCGCCCCCCACCGGGCACCAGAGGCAGATTCGTCAGGAGACCGACAGAGATTCAGCCGGAGAGGCCCTAGCACTGCGTTCCCGTGGGCGTGTGTTTTTGTAAAATTGGCAGAAATAAACTCTTTGCCACAATCAGCGAAGACTGCGGCCTGGGTCCTCCGTGCAGCCTGCTGAGTGGCCCTGGGCCCTATGGCGCTGGGGCTGGACCGCTGTGCGGTGGGGCCTTTGTGCGTCGTGGGTGTTTAGCGGCATCTGTGGCCTCTGCCCTCTAGAAGCCGGTGCCGTCCCCCAGTTGTGACAGTTACAAATGTCCCTGAGCCTGGGATGGGGAGAGCAGGCTCAGGTGAGTTGGGATCGTATGTTTGGGATTTCGGTTCGGTGTTAAGTGGTTCCCAGTGACCTCCCTGTGCGATGAGGCCCTCGGTCACAAACCAGCCAGTGGCATGGTCGCGTCAAGGACCAAGGTCAGTCTCTGCACGAAACAAACCAAAGCTCGAAATGCCTGACATCGTATGCCTCATATATGAAAGAGAACGGTTAGAGGTTTCCCCAAATTTGACAACCATCTAAAAATGTACACGACATTACCAATAAAGGCTTGTGGAGCTGGAATACACTTTTTCGAAGCTACCAACAATAAAACATTTAAATAACTATGTAAGATAGAGAAAATACCGAGTTACCTTCTTTTCTCTCTACAGAAACTTGTTTGGAGGGAGGAGGCAATAGAAGAATCTGCAGCCACATAGTACAGTAAAAAAGAAACGTCAGGGCTGTCAGGCAGCTTTGTAAGAGTTAAACTTTTTATTTTGAGATAATGATAGATTCACGTGCAGAAGTAAGAGCTGACACAGAGAGATCCCAGTTTCCCGAGGGCAGCATCTCGCGGACCCACAGGACAGTCTCACAAGTGACACGGATGTCGACGTCCCACGTGACAGCACACGGTCACCAGAAACAGCCCCCGGCTGCTCGTCCCAATCCCCGGCCACCACCAGTCTGTTCTCCGAGTGTCGTGTGAGTGGAATCACACAGTAGGGACTTGTGGGATTGGCTTTTTTCACTGAGCACAATCCTGCTTCATCCCAGCTGTTCTGCGGATCAGCAGTTTGCTCCTTGTCGCTGCTGAGCGGCATCCGGAGCACGTGGGTATCACCGCTTGTTTAACCATCGCCTGCTGAAGGACGCTGGGCTAACCTGTTCTGGGATACACAAACAAAGCTCCTGTGAACAATTGTGTACAGGTTTGTGTGTTGACAAAAGTTTTCATTTCTCTGGAATAAATGCCCAGGAGTGCAACTGCTAGGTCTAAATTGCAACTAAACGTGGTACTTGCCTGTTTAGTTTTTTAAGAAACTCCCAAACTGTCTTCCAGCGCCGCGGCGCCATTTTACATCCCTTCCAGCAGTGACGTCTTTCTCCTCTTGCTTGCCCATGTTTGGTGTTGTCCCAACACTGCTTAGCCTTCCTGCTGGCTGCGCAGTGATGTCTCACTGAGGGTTAATCTGCTTTCTCTAGTGCAATGATGTTGAGCATCTTTTCACGTAATCACATCTGTTTGCTGTCTGTGTATCTTCTTTGGTGAAAGACCTGTTCATGTTTTTGCCCATTTTCTAACTGGACTCTTTGTTATTTCACTGTTAACGTTTTGGGAGTTCTTTGTATATTCTAGATACTAGTCCTTTGCCAGATGTGTGGTTTGCAAATACTTTCTCCCATCCTGGGACTTGTCTTTGCATCTTCTTAACAGGGTCTTTTTTTTTCAGAGACAGGGTCTTGCTATGTTGCCCAGGCTAGTCTTGAACTCCTAGCCTCAAGTAATCCTCCTGCCTCTGGCTCCCAAAGTACTGGGATTACAGGTGTGAGCCACCATGCCCAGCCTCTTAACAGGGTCTTTTGCAGAGCAAAATTTTAAAATTTTAATAAAGTTCAATATATTAATTATTGCTTTTGTGGATTATACTTTTGATGTTTTATTTAAGAACTATTAATATTTGCCTAGCTTTAGATCCTGAAGATTTTTCTTCTATGTTTTTCTTTAAAAGTTTTATAATTTTACATTTTCCATTTAAGTCTGTGATCTATTTTGAGTTAATTTTTGTATAAGATGTGAGGCCTAGAGGTTCATCTTTTCACCTATGAATGTCCAATTGCTATCTTCCTTCCATTGAATTGCTTTTGCACCTTTGTCAAAAATCAGTCAGTTATTTCTGTGTAGGTCTATTTCTGGGCTCTCTGTTTTGTTTCATTGTATAATAAGTCTTGGAATTGGGTAGATTGATAGCCCAGGCTGGAATGCAGTGGTGTGATCACAGCTCACTGCAATCTGAAACTCCTGGGCTCAAGTGATCCTCCTGCCTCAGCCTCCTGAGCAGCTGGGACTACAGACATGCACCACTATGTCTGACTAAGTTTTAATTTATTTTTTATAGAGATGGGGTCTTGCTCTTTTGCCCAGGTTGGTCTCAAATTCTCGACCTCAAGAGATCCCCCTGCCTAGGCCTCCCAAAGTGCTGGGATTACGGGAGTAAGCCACTGCACCTGGCCCTTGCTGGGATTTTGATGGGAGTCGTGTTAAGCTTGTTCTATATATCAGTTCAGTAGAGAATGGACATCTTTACTCTGTTGAGTCTCGCAATCTATGAAGGTGATGTCTCTGTTTATTTAGATCTTCTCTGATCTTTTCATCAGTTCAGCATGTAGGTCCTGTATATGTTTTGTTAGATTTATACCTAAGTTTTTTTTTAGAGATAGGATCTCTGTTGCCCAGGCTGGAGGACATCATAGCTCACCTTGAACTTCTGGGCTCAAGTGACTCTCCTGGCTCTGGCTCAGCCTCCCAAGTAGCTGGGACCACAGGCAGGTGCCATCATGCCTGGCTATTTTTTTTAATTTAAAAATTTTTTCGTAGAGACAGGGTTTTGATTTGTTGCTCAGTCTGGTTTTGAATTCTTGGCCTTGAGTGATTCTCCCACTTCGACCTCCCGAAGTGTTGGGATTACAGGCATGAGCCACTGCGCCCAGCCATTTATACGTATTTTTTGAGCAATTATAAATTACATTGTTTTTATTTTTAGTGTCTACAAATTCAGTGCTACTTTATAGAACTACAGTTGAATTTTTACACGTTTATCTTGTGTCCCGTGACCTTGCTGAACTCATTCAGTTGTTCTAGGAGTGTTTTGTAGACTCTTTGGGATTTTCCCAGTAGACAACCATGTCATCTGCAACAAGGAACAGTTTTACATTTTTCCTTTCTAGCCTATATGCCTTTGTTTCCTTTTCATGCCTGTTGTCGTGCCCAGAACTCCCAGCTCCGTGTTGAGTAAGAACAGTGAGAGTAGACCCCCTTGCCTTGTCTTGATTGGGAAGAAAACCTTCAGTCTTTCACCATGAAGTGTGGCCTTGGCTGTAGACTTTTTCATAGATGCTCTTCATCAAATTGAGGAAGTTCTTCCTCTACCCCTGTTTTCTGAGAGTTTTTGTCATGCAAGGGTGTTAGATTATGCCAGTTGCTTTTCCTGCATCAGTTGATGTGATCATGTGACTCTTCTGGATGCCGACGTGGTGGATTGCGTTGATTGGTTTCTGAATGTTGACCCAGCCTCGCGTCTCTGGATGAAACCGTATTTGGTTGCAGTTTATGAATCTGTTTATATATCGCTGAATTCTGTTTGGTAGTATTTTGTTAAGGATTTTTGCACCCACTAATATATTCCTGAGGGCTGTTGGTCTGTGGTTCTTTTGTACTGTCTTTATCTGCTTTTGGTATCAGGGTAATAACAAATGCATGAAATGAATTGGTAAATATTCCATCGTCTTCTGTTTTCTGGAAGGGGATGTGTAGAATTTTTGTTAATTTTTCTTTAAACATTTGGTAGATTCTCCTGTGAAACCATCTGGCCTAGAGATTTCTTTCTGGGGAGTTTTTAAATTGCAAATTTAATTCCTCTAATTGTTACAGGGCTATTAAATTATCTATTTCATGTTGTGTGCATTGTGGTAGGAAGTTGTCCATTTTGTCCAAAGTTGTCAAATTTATGTATAACTTTAATATGTTTTAAATAAATCCATTCTTTTTCATAGATATTGTGATTTGTGTGTAGTTTGTCTGTGTTTACATTTTAAATTTGTTATGATTTTTCACTCTAAATAAATATTCACCTTTGAACCTAGTTTTTTATGATCATAATTTTATATATATCTTTTTCTTAGAAGGCCCCCTCACCCCCTACAACATGCAGGGTTCGGGCTACATAGAAACTGGATCCACCAGCCCCCACAGCGACCCATTTCTGATGTGTTTTTCCTTTAAATGAAACTTAAATGAGTGGAGTGGGTTTGGGTCTCACTCTGGGCTGGGTCTCCATACACACTGGTCAAGTACTTACTGGCTTGGGAAGCAAAATCCCATATGGAAAAAAAGGAATGGAAATCCATCAGCTATACTTATTTCTGTTTCACGTGATGCCAGGTGATTGTTACCACCCTTTATAAATTGCTGAATTTCCGCAATACTCATGCCTATTAAAAAAAAAACCAGAAAAGAAAGGCTTTTTGAGACAGGATCGGGGTGTTTGGGTTGGAGAGTTAGCAGGGGGGTCCTGCCCTGCCCCCCAAACCTGGTATCACGGATGTTCCCACACTCTCTCCACCACCCCCCTGCAGGACAGCTGATGTATTTCAAACAGGAAGCTGCTTGCAGATAACGCTGCAGCCGTGCAGGCTGATCTGCTGGGCTGTCTGACAGCCCAGGCCGTGGCTTCCCTCTGCGCTTGGACCGCGGCCGCGTCTGTAAATAGCAGGCATGAGGCTCCCCGGCGCAGTGTCCTCGCGGGCCAGTGGCGGTCAGGACGCGCCCCTCGCCTAGTGTGTGCTCAGGTAGGAGACGCTGCCCGGACGCCGCCCCAGAGCACAGAACCCAAGTCTGGTGCTCAGACACTGGACAGAAGGCAAGATTCCTGACGGGGATCAAGGTAGGGATTGGGCCGAGGGGGAGATGGGAATTTGTTCTCAGTCCAGGCAAAAGATCGAGTCTTAATACACTAGGCACCAGAATTCCGAAGTTTGATTGGTTCAGTAGTTCGTGGTGGAAATTCCGTGGAGGCTATGGGGACAGAATCGGTGGATCAGAGTTACCGGGTGATCGGGTCACGCCCACTTGGGTTACACGGAATTCAAAGAACCCAGGTCCAGAGGGAGCAGCAGTCTTAAGTCCTAACCACAGTGTAATTCCTGATCCCAGAACCAGGAATCTGAAGGGTCGATCAGCTGAGGGGCTGGGGGGGCGACAGCCATCACCCTGCGTGGTGGCGGGAAGCTCTGTCGGGCTCAGTGACGGGGAGCCTGGGGGAGGCGGAGGGGCGCTCGCGGTGGCCACTTCCAAGGAGGGACAGTCCGAGTTCAGGTAGGGCGTCTGATATGAGTGGGGTCGCCTTGTCTCCAGAAATTGGAAGAGAGCCAAGTTCCATAGGGTGGCCACCTCCTGCCGTGACAACCTAGCGTTAGGAACAGCTGTCTTCTCAGACCTGAAGTGGTGTGGCAGTTCCAGATTTAACTGATGACGTTTTAAAGCCATCAGGTGCATGCCTGGCTTGTTACGTTGATGGGAAACGCTTGGTCTGGTGGTAGGTAGAGCAGTGCCCCAAACTTTCACAGCTGTTCGATTTTACCTACAATGCTGAAAAATCTGTGCCCAGTACGAGAACAGACCAATGAAGAAGTCTCTTCTTGCCTGTGGTCTCGGTGAGAAGCTGAGAAGAACGTGTGTCGTGGGTGGAAATCCTCGCTGCCCCGGAGACACCTTGTCACCGTGAGAAGCAGAAGGTGGGGGCGGGAATGGGCGCCGGTTTGCGGCAGAACAAGCCTCCCTGATGCTTCCGGGGACGGGTTCTCGGTAGATATTTACAGCGTCCGCGAGGTGCCGCCGCTGTAGATACGTGGTGAGAACGTCAACTTGCATGTCTGGCAGCTTGAGTCACGTTTTTCCCGTTGTCTATTCGTTCTTATAATTATTTCTTCTAAGGATTCCACACTGAATCCCCTTTCCCCGCTTGCAAAGCCAGCCTCCTTCACTGAAGGGAGAGGCCTCGCGTCCTGGGCCTGGCTGGCAGATAAGGATGTTGTTCTTAAAGAGCCCCTGGGGGTAGCTGTGGCTCCTCTGTTTATAAAACTAAATTCCTCTTCTCAGTTGGAGAGCAGGCGCTCTGGGAAGGCGGCTCCTTCCGTGCGTGTGGGTGCCTTCTGCGCCCTCTGCCCCGGTTTCTGCTGGCTGGACCCACCGAGCCTGAGAGCCCCCGAGGGCAGGGTCTGAGCCTCACCTGCGTCCACAGGCCGATGCGATGCGGGGCCTGTCACTGGAAAGTAGGCAGGAAATCTGCGAATGCGCAGGTGGGTCAGTGAGTGAGTGGCGGCCTGAGAAGTCCCAGCATTCGTTGATTCCGGGTTTCTCCCTCTTGCTGCCTGCCTTCCTGGGCCGGGGCAGCTGATCTCCTCTGAAGCCACTGTCAGGACTTCCGCAGGGCGAGAGCAACACAAGTCTTGCCGAGCACCTGGGTGTCTCCGGACAGAGTCACTTCTAACTGGAGAGGAAGTCCCCACGTCAGCTTTTGATACTTGGGACATGTTACAAGATCTAAACCCAGTTTGCATCCAGCAAATACCGAAAAGCGCGTGTCAGCCTCGGCACAGGTGGGGCGGTAGGGTTTTTTTTGCTTCGGTAGCTGCACACCAGCAAGAACCCAAACCTGCGGCGGAGACAGCGGCGAAGTGCGTGGTGCTGGAGAGCCGTGGAACAGCGCGTCCGGCTGCAGCCTTCGCGGGGCCCTTGTTGCGACACTGTTGGGAGTTCAGGGCGACCACAGCGGAGTGATAACAGGTCTGCAGGCCCCGTGGGACGGCACAGGCCCTGCGTCTGAGGCGTGGCCCTGGCAACACCCTGTGGGCACAGACACGACGTGGGCTCCAGACACGTGGGAAGTCCACGAGGAGGAGAGCGTGAAGTTCCGTTTCTGGTGCCTTTGTGAGCTTTCGTTCACACACTCGTTCGTTCACCCATTCATTTGTTCACTTAGTGCCTGCCCAGCTCCAGCCCCCGAGCGCCCGGGGGTCTTTACCAGTCACCAAACTGTCGCACGTGGACCCAGGCCCGGATGAGAGGAGTGACGTCAGCTCGCGGGGCCTGGGTCGTGGGTGAATTCACTCCCCCTTCTACGTGTCCCTTATTCTTGTGATCTTCCTGTGAGCTCAGCCGCCCGTGTGGCCAGAGGCAGCTCTGGCGTGGGGAGCACTGGAGGCGGAGCACTCGAGGCAGGGCCCGGCCGGGCGTTTGGGGCCGACTGTCCACCGCGGTGAGCCCCGCGTCCTTCTGGTCTTCGACAGGAGGAATCACAGCAGTTCAAGGGTTGTTCTGGGGATTAAATCAGACACGTGGAGTGTAGTATGTGTGGGCTCCTTTTTTCTCCGCCCCCCCATAAAGCCTATTCCCGTCATGACTCAAGGAGGAAGATGAGTCTTCCTTCGGTGCGTGGGGAGCCGACCACTGAGCAGAACGAAGAAAGAAGCGGACGGTGATAGGAAGCCCCGGCTTCAGCCCACTGCACCACTTACCAGCCGTGCGGCGCCGGTGACGTTGCTCCGTCTTTCTCATCTGTGCCGTGGGAGTGACGGTGCTCGTCTCTGGAGTGCTGTGCGGGCGGGTTATTTTCTCCAGCCCGGCGGACATCCGCATGCCTGTCCTGGCAGGGTCAGTTCTGCAGAAAGAAGCCGGGTCCCCACTCGGTGCATGGTGACACAGGCCGCAGGATGGCTCAGAAGGGGGACGGTTTCCCTGTGTCCGTTTTGTGGAACAGCTGACTGCAGCGAGGAGCTGTGCGGGGACAGACGTCCTCGTGGAGGGGCCTGGGCTTCTGGCCCGGTCCTGGAGCCCACACGTGGTCACTGCGTATCAGTAGCTGCCACGTGCCAGGCCCTGCGTACGAGCTTCCTGGGCATTTCCAGCGCTCTTCCTCGGGGTACACTTAGGGCGTTCTTAGCTCCACTTGCGATGAGGAAACAGGCTGGCAAAGGGCGTGCAGTTTGGCCATGGTCCTGGTAAGTGGTACGGCTAGACTCGTAGCTGTCCCTTAAACATGCGCCATACGGACGTCAAAGTCCCACGTGGCAGGTCTCCACGTGCAGCCTGTGGCTTCCTCAGCAGCTGAGGAGGCAAGAATGGCTGCCTGCTCCCACAGCCACACGGCCAGCCGTGTCCTTCCGCCCACCCGACACCGTCAGTGACTGGCGTGCCCTGCGTTAATGCGATCAGATCACGGATGAGCTACGACTACACGGCAGCGTGGGTGAATCAGAGCACGACATTAAGTAAAAAGACATGGGGACTACGCACAATGTGACATTCTGTAAAACTCGAAAACAAGCAAAACATGACGCATGTGGTTTAAGAATATGTGAACGTGCGTGTGTGGGAATGCCGTTCGGCACACCGCCAGTGCACAGCGAGCTCACGATTCCGGGTGGCGGCCCCTCCGCGGGGAGGCGGTGTCGGGCAGCAGCGGGACAGGCCCCCCTCACCCCTTCTCAGCAGGACAGAGCCCACTTTCCTCCCGCCCCTTCTCTCCGGCTGCTGGGTGTAGCCCCTCTGCAGTCTCTTTCGGTCCAAATGTCTTTCTCTTAGGAAGGCAGAAACTCAGCAGGGCCCCTCTCCGTTCTCCGTTCTCCGGATTTGATCTTTTCCTGCCCACGTGCCCTAAGCCCTCTGCTCCTCCGGTTCCTCACAGCTTTTGACCCCTGCCTGAAAGGGAGAGCGCGCATTTTCCTAATTAACCCTGTGAATCCCCCCACTTCCCACCACCCTACTCACTCCCTCGGGAGGACCGAGCGGGAGCAGGAGCGGGGATTTGAACTGGGCCCTCGGAGAGCAGGCGCTGGGATGTCTGGGCTCGGCATGTGGCCAGGCGTCATCGGCTTTCTGTCCCTGACTTTGAGCTTCCAAGTCTCTTTCTTCCCTGAGCCTGGACGCGAGGGAGGGAGGTGGCTTTACCTGCGTTGACAAAGTAAGGTAGGGAAGCTCTGTGAGCCCGGGTGCTGGAGCACTTGCTCTGGCCCCTCCCTCCCTCCCTCTGTGTCCCTTCCTTAACCTTCTCCTTAGTGTCCCGTGGACGTTGCACATCTAATGTTCACGGCTGTGACACTGTCAAACAACCTCCACTTACCTTTTCTCCTATTATCATAGTGGGGATTTTTTTCAGAGTTGGGAGAAGGATTTCAACGACTTCGCTTCATGCTGCAGGGACAGGTTCTGCCGCTCACAAGACGTAGCTTGTCCACTGGCTGCCACGGTGGCAGGGTCCATGTCGGGTGGCAGTGGGTGTCCTTGGGCGTCTTGACCCTTCCACATATTTCTGGCAGAATTCCTCGAGCAGCAGGCAGTTCAAGTCCTAAAGGTGGGCTAACACCAGCCAGAGATGGGGTCTCTGCAGACTCGGGGGCCACAAGATCTGAAGACGGGATGGACTTGGCCTTAGAGGTCTGTCCCGCCATCCTCCCGGGCTTTTGTATGACGAAGTGAACACAGGAGGGCTCCCGGGCTGTGGATGTGAGAATCGACACTGCTCCAGACGGCCTTCTCCAGCAGCTAAGGCGACTCCGCTTTGGGCGGGGAGGGCTGGCCTGGGACGGACGGGACAGAATGCAGGGTGCTATGGCCCCCCGGCCTTGCAAACCAAACCGTCGCTCCGTCCACCAGGCCCAGCTGCCTCTGCGCCGCCCTCTTCGGAGGCTGACAGGCGGCTCAGACTCAGACAGCCGAACCCCACTCTCACTCCGTCCCCGCCTCCTCACCTCCCTTCCTCTGTAACTGGCTGCACCACCCACCTGGGTGCTCAGGACGAAAGCTTCAGTCTCTGGCCCCCTCTGTTTCCCACTTAACCCATCAGCAGATTCCGTCAGCTGTGCTCCCCGGGCTGTCGCAGACCTGCCCGTGTTCATCACCTTCAGCTGCTGGCCCAGTCACCCCTGCACGGTCTCCTGGCGTCCATCCCGCCCCTGAAGTCCAGTCTCAAAAGAGCCAGGTGCCCTTTTATGAAGCTGCCCCCTCAACCCAGACCCCTGTCTCATTCAGAGCAACCCAGAGCTGTCACCAGGGGGACGGCCAGGGACAGCGCTGCCCTCTGCTGCCCCAGGGCTCGCTTCCTCCTACCCAGGCAGCTCCCTCTCCCGGCCCAAGCCCAAGCCTCAGGGTTTTCACACCCACAGGTCTCCCCTGAACACTTTCCCCCAGTGGCAAGTCTCTCTGCAACAGCAGCGGGTGTCTCCCCACCCCCAACTCTTCCCCAGGGCTCCCATTCCCGTCTGTCTGTCTGTCTCCTCCAACCGCCTCTACTGCCAGTGCCTAGAACTGTGCCCAACGGGTCAGTACCCACAGATGCTGCGTGCGTGAGTGAGGGGTGCAGGGCGCTGGGGCGCAGCGGGAAGCGCGGCCCTTGGATGGAGACTTGGTGCTTCTGAGTGGCCATGGCTCTCAGGGAGCCGGGCCAGGCCCAGCTCTGCCCTTCTCTGCTGTGCTGGGCCCTGCGCTCTCCCCTCTCCCTTCCCTGCCTGCGCCCTCTGTTTCCTGTGTCTCCTCCAACGTAGCAGATTCCATTGCCAGCTTTGTTTCCAAAGTTTTAATGCCCCTCCTGAAGAAACAAAGGTGACAACGAACACTGGCCTCTCCTGGGACAATCAAAAGCCAGGAGCCCCGGTCCCCAGGGCTCTCACCTCCCTGCTCCCCAGGGCGCTGGGTTCATTCCTCAGGGTGGGGCTGCCCCCCTTGCTGACCTCCTGGGGGCTGCCCACATGTGGGGCGTGGACTCCTGCCTGCGAAGTGAACCCTGACACGTGGGGTCCACTGGCGCCTGGGCCTTTCCCCTGGCTCTTCACCCCCCCCCCACAGCTGTGCCTGCGGCTGGCGGCTGCCCCTGCAGAGTCCCCTCCACTCTGTTGGGATCGGCTGCTCTGAAGGTCTCAGACGGAGCCATGGTGGGCACACAGCAGGCCTCCACCCGTACCCACTGCTCAGGCTGGGGCGACCCGGTGCCTGTGCCTGACCAGGGCTGCCGGACACTTCCCAGGGGAGGCCCCAGACCCCCGCCCAGGCCCAAGGAGGGGGGACCCCAGTGTGCGCAGGCTGCCCGGCTGGCATTCCCGTCACTGTTTATTCCTTTCTTGGAGCAGGAGTCAACGTCCTGCCCGCGCATGATGAAGGGGCACCTGGCTCTCACGGGCGCTCTCCTCGGCCTGGCCTTCCTGTCCCTGCTGCCCTCTGGATGTCCCCAGCAGACTGCGGACGACGCCTGCTCCGTGCAGATCCTCGTCCCGGGCCTCAAAGGTAACCGGCGCCTCTCCTTGACCCCAGCCCCAGTCAGCAGCCTCTGGGGCGGCTCCGCGGGAAAGCACTGAGACCACCCCTGGCAACCATGCTCACTCCGTTGGGCCTCAGTCTCCCCATCTGTGACATCGAGGGTTGGGCTGTGTGGAGTCTGAGCTTTCTTGAGCCGTGGACTTGTGCGACCCTGAGGACAGCTGTTTGCACCCCAGCCCCGGGCACGGGGACCCTGTCGGAGCCCCGACATCTGCTTCAGGCACTGCCCACGTGGTCCCGCGGCATCCCCGGCAGGAGATGATCTCGTGCGGTCCGTTTTGCAGATAAGGAATTTCGAGGCTCGGAGAGGTGTAGCAGTTCGCCTCAGGACCCACGTGGGCTCCTGTAAGGTTTCCAAGAGCTCTTAATATTCTTTATTTTAAAAACTAAATGAAATTTTTCCTGCTGCTTTGTCTATAGTTGACCTCCAGACAGATGGCTGTGCAGGTCGGGTGGGCAAGTGCCGAGGCCGCCGTGGCCGAGGCCCCCCGAGCGGTGCCTCCATTCAGGAAAACCACCCGTTTCTGCAGAGCGCAGGGAAGAGATCCCCAAACCCTGTGACTCCTCAGCAGGACGAGCTACATAATTTGTGGGGCCCTTGTTTGAATATTAAGAATTTCCAGAAGGGACAGCCGCACCCACACCAGGCGTGGGGTGCGCAGGGCCGTGTGGCTGCCGGGCATGGAGGGGCACAGTCACTTCCCGCACCCCAATTCGGTTTGCCCCTCCCCATCTGCAAGGGCCGCTCAGCCAGGGACCACTAGTTGTCCCCACGAGGTGCTGCCTTTTAAGGGGAGGCTGCAGCCTCCTTTTATTGAAACATCAGAGAAAAGCGGGTTCTCACACTGAGGAGCTGTCGAACCCTTGCTCAAAACGACCACCAGGAAAGACAAGCTCCACTTACCTCTGCATCGCACAAAATATTATTGATATAAAAAGATTAGCATAAAAAGCTGGGGCTGCCCGTCGTGGGCAGGGGGACGCCGGTCCCTGCGGTCCTGCCAGGATGTCCCTCTCCGGGGCAGGTGCTGGCTGTAGGACTGGAGGCCAGAAGTTCTCTAGCGTGGCCTGTGTGGAAGGTTCCTTTTCCTCTGCTTTCAGCCTGTGGTTGGAAGCCAAGGAGACAGTCCTGCAGCCCTAACAAGCCCCCTGGCTTTTGTGTCCTTGGTCATGATAAACATGCTGACCTTCTTTTTAAAATTTTCAATCATGTCGGAAGAAGCGTAAACTGTGCCTCTATCAGAAGGTTTGGCGAAGGCGTGGTTTTGGCGCCTGACTGTGGTGGCGGGTGTGGGTGTGTGTTTGCAGATGTTGGCTGTGGCAGTCACACCCCACCTGGCCACGGGGCCCCTGGAGTCCCGCAGGTCCCCCCACTGGGCTCTGCACGGGGCGGGGCTGGGCTGGGGCCGGCTCCTTGCAGACGCCCCCCAGGCGCTGTGGTGAGGAACCTCCCCAGGCGGCCGCCAGCCTGGGTCCCACGGGTGCGCCACCGTCTCACACGTGTGTGGGGCCCACCTCTCCGGCAGGTGTGAGAAGGAACAGGACAGGGCTGAGTGTGCCCAAAGCAGAAGATTTTAACACATGGTTTAAATGTATACTTACTGTTACGGAAAGAGTCAATGTTTTCTAAAGCTAAAACAGTGTTTTCTAAAGCTAAAAATCTAGAACAGTGGAATACAAAATTTTAAATATTAATAGTCCCTTTGTAATTTCATTTAAAAATACCCAAATATATACAGTGGCGTGCACCCGTGGTCCCGCCTACTCGGGAGGCTGGGGCAGGAGGATCGCTTGAGCCCAGGAGTTCAAGGCTGCAGTGAGCTGTGATGATGAGACCCCAGAGCCAGACCCTGTCTCAAAAACAAAAACCAAAACTCAAAACCAACAAAGGTACAGAAACATAGAATAAGGCTGGAAGGAAACATGCTGAAATGCTAATGGCAGTGGCCGTCTCTGAGTGTAGACTGACATATGATTAAAAATGGTCACGGGGGTAACAATCCCAACGTTCTATAGTTAGCAGATTTCACACTCTAAGTGTAAAATCAAGGCAATATCAATATTCAGATGTCTCTGGGTTGTCAAGCGCACTTTGAGGGCACCTTTGAGCCAGAGACTTTTCCAGGTCTGCGCTGGTGACGTGCGCCGAATCCCCGGGTGCCCGCAGAGGCGGCTTGCAGGGCCCGTGCGGCTCGATGTCGACCGTCTCTGGGTCGGATGACCAGCAGCCTCCTCCCTCTCCCGGGGATGGCATGCCTCCCATGCGTGGCTGCAGCTGTCATCTCAGGGGTTCATCGACAGCATAACACAGACTGTCGTTAGTGATGAGTCGCCGCCCTCGTGAGGCTCAGGCGTCGTCCACAGGGGTGGCTCGATGTTGTGCTTATTTGCTCCTTTCACGCGTGTTTACTGAGCGCCCGTAAGGAGCAAGATGCGCTGTAGGTTCGTTCCTTAGAGGGTCCCCTGGGTGAATCGGACCTGGACCCTGCTTTCCATGGGCTCGTTCAGCAGGTGGCTGGGGACGTGTTCCTAAGCGTGGGGAAGCCGTGTGCGGTGGTAGGCCCTGTGCCCTGGAGCTGCTCCTGCAGCCCCGATGCCGGTCGCTGTTTCACGAGACAGATGCCAGTCTGCCAGTGCCGAAGGGCGACTGTGTAGAGACACTTGTGAAGACAGTCACTCCAGCCTGAGAACCTGGGTGTCTTGTTCCGACGGTCGAGGCTCAGGCCAGAGTCCTTTTCTGCTGCGGTGAGTGAGTGTGTGAACACAGAGCCAGCTTGGTTTCAGTGGAAGAGTTTTGTTGTTCCGATGTTTAATTTGGCAGCAGGGGAAGGGTGGGGGCAAATCTGTCACAGGAAAAGCAAGTGTGGGGGCTTCCAAGCAAAAAAAAACCTCAAGATTGATGCACATTTTGTCAACGGCAAAACAAACAGATTGGCATCCAGGAAGGAGCCTCTTCTCTCGAGTCCGCGCCTCCTCCCTGGCATCCTCGGCGTGGGGCCTGCGGCCGGAGCAGTCGGGGCCGTGGAGCCCGCGCCCCGGTGTGGCTTAGCCGCTGTCTGTGCGGGCTCTGGTTATCCGGTGAGTGCACGCCACTTCGGTGCCCTGGAGTGTGCTTTCCCTGTAAAACAGGGCTGCAGCGTCAATCCCGCTGACCTCGCAGAGAGACCGCGACGCTAACACGTGACACCGTGAGAGCAGAGAGATGGGAGCCCACAGGGTAGGCGGCGCCACGCCCCTTCAGTAGGGATGTCTGGGAGTCATCACGTCTCACTGCAGGTGGGCGTTGTGCCTCCACCGTCCCTGCCAGCTTCGGGCCAGACCTGGGCGGGGGGCCCAGCCCCTGCTTCCTGCTCCTGGACGGTGACTTGCAAACCGCTAACCCTGTGCCGGGCAACCGGCCCAGCAAGGCAGCAGATCAGATGTCCACCTGCCGGCGTGCAGGGAGCGTCGGCAGGTGAGAGGTGAGCCCAAGGGGCTAGGAGAGGGTCTAAAAGGATTCATTCTACCCGACGTGTCAGAAATTGCATTGGTCAATGGAGCAAAACATACAAATGCAATACAGGTTCTGCTTTTGGGGGGAAATAGGCATATAAATGGTCACCGGTCACTGGGCACACATTTATTGGACATTTATGGACCAGGCTCAGAGCTGGGGTGGAGAAGCCATTGCCCGTCTCCTCAGAGGCCCAGCGTCAGCCCAGCACGCGGGGCAGCGTCTGGCCTGCAAGTCCCCCCGACACCCCTTGCTTGTCCTCGGGGTTCAAACGTGGCTGCAGAATCTTCCGCACCCCACACTCCCGGCAGCCCTTTGACTGCTGGTGCTTGAGATGACACGCATTTGCTATGTCAGGGCCTGATAATAACACATTGCCTTTGCATTTAGAGAGAATGACAACTCCTTTTGTTGGGAAAAAATGGTCTTTCCTAAAAGGTTAAAAAAATTGACTGTGGGTGGGAAAACATTTATGCATATTAGCAAGCCTGCTGCTCAGAAGTGTGAAAGGTCAGAGGTTTTGTCAAATTAATTAAAAAATCATTAACTGTCATCCCTCAAAACAAGGTTGAGAAAACCAGTAAAGGGACCCAAATGCCGCGTGCCACGTGGGAGGTTTGTGCGGTGGGAGGTTTGCGCTTCTGCCCCCAGATGTGGCTCCTCCCGGCCGGCACCTCTTCTGTGGAACAAGCCCGCTGGGCGGGTCCCCGGCTCTTCCCTCTCTGGCCTCCCACGGCCCTGGGGAGCCGTGGCATTGGCTGTGGCCAGCGGGGAGGAGGTCCCTGCAGACGTTGCTGTTCCGATGCAGACGCAGGTAGAATGACAGTCCAGGAATTTCCATGGCTCTTCCTCCACGGGCTGCAGATATGTCAAAGAATCTCATCTGCGTGAAAGTAACTGCCGTGTGTCTTCCTAGTAGGGTTGAAAACGACCCCACGTGCAATCTGGGCAAAAGCTTTCTGTTCATAGGTTTATGCATGACTTGCAGGAAGGCAAGCGAGCAGTAAGCACTGGTCACATTTTCTTTATTTCTTTGGGAGCGGAGAAAGCAGTGTTGTTAAGGATGTCGGAGAATGAGGCGGACAGTTGGAACTTTTGCCTCTCCTGGTAGAGAAATAACTCGGCAATAGAACTTTATGCGGCAGATCAGCCCCAAATCAATACCTGGTAAAGGAAAGGATGCAGGAAAAATGCCACTGTGCTCCCTGGGTGTGTGTCGTAAAACGCATGTAATTTTTGAGCGGAGAGGTTTATAGAAATCCTGTTCCAGAGTCATTATCAGCAGGGCCATATATCTTTATGACCCCTGAGACCGGCGTATAACACACACGCGACCCCTGCCAGCGGTGCGCAGCGCTCGAAGACAGCCTGTGTTCCGAGCAAGCGTGTGCAGGTCGGTCCCCCCGGAGGAGGCAGCGAGGCAAGCACGGGGCCAGGCGCAGTCCTGCCGTACGGGGGTCTCCATGGACTTTGGTGCTGCCCCCCAGAACAGGAGATTAAAATAGGTTTTTAAAACATAGTTTAACATATTTTAACAGCAAACTCACAGGAACAGCACAGAAGAAGACAGAATTAAAACCATGTGCTTGCCTGTAGGACAACTCGGAAAAGTACAGTGAGCGGATGGATTCCGCCATGTGACGAAAATGCTACCATTTAGTTGTCGTAAATAAGAAATGTACTTGTTAAAAAAAAAACCCAAATGGTGGCATTGTCCAGAAAAATTTAATAGATTTATTTATAATTTTTGTGACGTTGAAGTGCTGAGACTTGTTCACCGAAACGTTTTGACTCGCATTAGCAATTTACATCCTGCATCTATATTAACAATTCACACACAAAGGAAAATGGAAAAACTGCCAATGTCTGGTTTCTGTCCTCTGTTTTTTCACTCACAATCATATACTTAGGTACTTTTTGACCCATGGGGGGAAATTTCATTTTCAGAACTACCAAGAAGAAGAGAATTTTTTTGCATGAACTGTGTCCCATCATGGTGGGTCCTTAAGCATGTTCTCCATGTACGCGTGTGCTGGCTGGATGTGTTTTGGCGTAACTGTTAGGGGTTTGGCATGGACAGCACACAGGTCTTCCAAAAGGCCAACCGGAGAGGCCTCGCCCGCCTCTGCCAAGCACCAGCGGCTGGCTCTGGAAGCACAGATCTGTTTGGAAGCCCTGAGCAATGCTCCCACCAGACGCTGGCAAGGAAGTTTGGAATCAGCTCAGCAGACCTGTGGTAACATCTGATTTCACAGAGGGCCGCGGTGCCAGCCCTGTAGCCGTGGGGCCTCTTCACCCCTCCCGGAGAGGGTGCATCTTGCCAGCCGCTCTTGTAGCCAGCGCTTCGCCTCACCTAGAGGGGTGTGGGGCAGCCTGCTCTGCGGGAGCCAGGTGTGGAGACCTCCCTGCTCACCCCTTCCCCTCTGGCTGGAGCTCGGCGAGCGCCAGCACCGGCATGGAGTCTTCCAGGACGCATTTCATTCGCTCCTCATCAAAGATGAGCAGACGGAGGCTGGGGGAGCGTGCGTGGCCCGGGTGGTGAGCAGGTTTCCCAACCCCGGGCCCTGGACCCCCTGCAGAAATAACACCAAGGAGTCCCGGGTGCCTGCTTCCCAGTCCTGGAGCACATGTGATCGGCCCGAGTGGTCCAACCCAGTGTCCGCTCAGCGGGCCCCTTGGGCACAATGGCGCTTAAGCGAAGTGATTTTCTGAGAGAGAGAAAGAAAACCCCTGTTAGGTCCTATGCTTTAGAGAGTCTTGCTGTTTCTTTTTTTTTTTTGAGACAGAGTCTCACTCTGTTGCCCTGGCTAGAGTGCCGTGTCATCATCATAGCTCACTGCAACCTCCAACTCCTGGGCTCAAGCGATCCTCCTGCCTCAGCCTCCCGAGTAGCTGGGACTACAGGTGCACCACCTTGCCCAGCTAATTTTTCTATTGTTTGAAGAGATGGAGTCTCGCTCTTGCTCAGGCTGGTTTTGAACTCCTGACCTCAAGCGATCCTCCTGCCTCAGCCTCCCAAAATGCTAGGACTACAGGCGTGAGCCACTGCGCCTGGCCTTAAATGTCTGTTGAGAAGAGAAACAGCATAATCTCATTTGTGTTTTAGAGATTTTGTGGGTGTGTGTTCGTCCATTTGTGTTGCTATTAAGCCATTCCCGAAGGTGGGTGATTTATAAAGAAAAGAGGTTTACTTGGCTCGCGGGCTGTAGCCCGCACATGCGTTGCACTGGCATCTGCTTCTGGTGAGGGCTCCAGGGAGCCTCCAGGCAAGGCAGAAGGTGAAGGGGGAGCAGGTGTGTCACCTGGCGGGAGAGGGAGCTGGAGAGGGAGGAGACACCAGGCTCTGCTTCACAACCAGCTGTCATGGGAACTAAGAGAGCCCACTCATCACTGCGAGGACCAGGTGGCACCGGGCTGTCGGGAGGGATCCACCCCATGACCCAAGCGTCCCTCCCAGGCCCCCCTCCAACACGGGGATCAAGTTTCAACAGGAGATTGGAGGACAAACTTCCAAACCACATCAGGGCATTGGGGTGGGTGGAGGCCACAGCCAGAGTGGTCTCGGGGCACCGTGTGCCAGGGGGCGGCTGAGAGCCAGCCCAGAGGGACAAACGCACTCCCCGGGGCGGACAGTAGGGCAAGGGGAGGAGGATCCCTGAGGGGACTGGGGGTCCCAGGACGGGCAGGATGCTGAGCGCCCTTGGCTGCTGCGGGGGCCAGGGGAGGTGGGGAGCCTCTCTGGCTGTCGTTCCTCCACGTGTCACGTGGGAGTGCTGAGTTGCTAAACGGATCTGACTTCTTCCACAGGGGATGCAGGAGAGAAGGGAGACAAAGGCGCCCCAGGACGGCCCGGAAGAGTCGGCCCTACCGGAGAAAAAGGTACCTGCAGCCCCTGGCCGCCCAGAGCTCTGCAGAGGAGGCCAGGCTGATGCTCTGGCTTCTGCAGGGGCTGGGGCGAGGGGTGGGCGATTCCAGAGAGCAGACGCCTGCCTTCTGGGTCTCGGGGAGGCAGATGGCGAGGCTGGGGGCAGGGACGGGAGAGTGCTCTTCCAACAGTGCTCCTTGGTGTCGGCCCGCGGGGCCCCAGGAAATAAAGCCCCGGACACTCAGCGCCGTCCTCCGCCCCTCTAAGCCTCATCTGCAAAATGAAAGTAGCAACATTCAGGATCCCTTGTGGGCACTGAATGAGGTCAGTAAAGTTATCTGTGGTGGCCTGGCAAAGGGGACGGACGGCTAACGGACCCGGATCACCTTGAACTTACTTCCTTGTGAGTGAAATAGGATGATTCTGCCTGCCTCGTGGGATCGTGCTGGGGCTTAAGGAACTAGATCATATGTGTAAAGGAACTAGATCATACATGTAAAGGAGCTAATTATACATATAAAAGAAACTATATTATAAGCATATAGGAAGTAGATCATACATGTAAAGGAAGTAGAGTATACATGCAAAGGAA